GACTAAGCAGGAGCTGTCGGTCTCTACCCCAGACTTGACCTCCTGGATGGACCATGTGCCTTATGTAGACATTTCTCTGCCCGGCTGCTGGACGGAGCTCTGCCCACTGGGCCGTGTGTTCTGTGTGGACATGTACACAGAACGGGTGGAAAAGTCTGAACCTGGGATACCGTCTGTGACTAGTTCACAGGCAGTCACAATACTCGGTCACTGTGTGAGTCTTACTCTCTCAGTCTCTCCCAGTGAAGTTTTAATACGCTGGAAAGGATTCATATACTAGAATGCCCAGTCACTGTGTAAGTGTGTAACAGTGGACATTGTTGTCTGTCTCACTCAGTGTAGTATTAATACACTGGAATGGATTAATGTACTGGAATGCCCAGTCGCCCGGTCTGTAATGGTGAATCTCTAGCTCAGTGATAGTATCCTGTCTACCTCTCTCTCTCTACCTGTGGCAGCGCAGGGTGTCTCGCTACCCAGCGAGAGGGTAATGTTCTCAGGGCTGACGTAGGTATTATGTCAGAGTGCTGATTCTTTAACAAGATTCCCCCTGTACACCCCCCCCGACAAACGCACACCAAACTCCCCGGTCCCCACTCCCGGGAAATCCAATTAACAGCTGAGCTAATTAACCCTCCCGGAATTCATGGCTACTCGCCGACTAACAAAACCCCCCCGAGACCGTCACAGAGCAGTACGATCACCACCCCCACCCAGCAAAACGACATCACTACACATAATCCCGCTCCCTAACCCCGCCAGTACATTCCATTTCTGTAAGGGCAGGTCGGGCTTCTCGCGATGTCTGTTGTGCCCCAGGCTTCAGTGATCTTCATTTCATTTCTTTTCGGCTGGCCTCTCAACTGCTGAGGACGGATCTGTGCCCGTCTCGAAAGGCGCGCGTTCCCTTTCTGAACTAATTTCAGCCCTTTTTATGGGACAGAGCAACTTCCCCTGCTGTTGCTCTACCCCTTGAAGTCTTTTGACCTTATGACCTGATTCTGGTGAGCAAATCGGTTTACCTCTCTCTCGCTCTCCCTCTCTCTCTCTCTCTCTCTCTCTCCACCCATCCCTCAGTTTTATCCCTTCAGCGCTGATCTCCCTTCATCCCTTCCAATCCCTCGGCCCTCATCTGTTCATCAAAGGCCAGGCGGGGAGAGAGAGAGAGAGAAAGAGAGAGAGACAGAGACGGAGAGAAAGCAAGGGATTGCACCGGACTCCTGACCGAAGTCCAGCCGCGACAGAGAAGGAGCTCCCAGTTGCAGCAGCAGAACAGGGCAGAACTCAAAAAGCTAGCGCAAGGGAGACTGCGGAGGGGCAGAGAAACCTAATCAGACAGAGGAGGAGGAGGAGGAGGAGAAGGACAAGAGCAGCACCTTAACCAGAGCAAAGCCCAGGTAAGACCCATTTCAACAGCTTCGCGATTCCAGACGCTCGGACCTCTGTCTTTCCCGCCAGTCCCTCCTAGCCCCAGTCGGACAGTAGCTCTTCTTCTTGTTTCGGCGTGCGGCGCAGTGTATGTGGCGTCCGCGCTGGGGCAACGCCAGGCTGATTCGCAGGCGTGCGCCGATAACAAGACCTTAAAGGCGTCGCCGCCCCCCCCAAAGCAGGTTAAATAACGCGCGACGGAAAACCACAACTAGAAAAAAAAAACAATCCGATTCTACGCGCACAAGCGCTTGCGGAGTCCGGAATAACGAGAGGACAGACTGGATCCGAACGGCCCACGGTGCGAACCAGCCACATCGCCACTCTTGGGCGCCATGTTGGCGTGCAACCACTGACTCTCGGCAAACTTCCTCACTCGGCAGGGAGGGTCAAGTAGGGGGTTTACAGTGATGGATTGTGGAAGGCAGACTGGATTAGGGGTCTGGTGAACTTGGAAATACAAATACTGTGCTTTTGGACGGTAGTGCCATCCGAGCAGGACAACATAGCACATCACAGACCGCGCAGGACAGGATGTCACGTGTACGTAGACGCAGTCACTTCCAACTTACACTAGGAAGCACGAAGGCGAGATCAGTTCGACACGAGGGAAGACGCGATCGGCGCTCACAGGGTAGTATAGCGCGGGGAGAGGAGAGGTCAATTAAAGAAAGGACAGCTCGTAACGCTGACGGAAATCGCTTCTCGGCAGGCGTAGCTCATGGCTGAACCAGCGAAGAGTGTCCCGCTACAGCTCCCAGTGTCCTCCGGGAGGATAAAACGCTCGCTGTACCAAACCGAGGTTCCTGCAGAGGATCATGGGGAGTGTCTTTCAGGAGCCCATGAGAAAAATGGGAATGTTTTGAGCGTTTCCTGCCCTCTCTTTCCAGGCTCTCTGAGCCGTTTCCATTTCCTGCCAGCGGTAGAGAGGCTGGCGGAGCTCTTGCTGCTGCTGTGCAATCCCCAGAAAGCAGCCGCCGCTCACAGTCAATGGCCAGTCTAAAACGGTCTCCGGGTGGCAGTGCCTACAGGGCAGCTCCTCATCGCTTCAAGCCAACCGAGGGCCGTGCGCGACAGCGCCGCCACCTACTGGGAGGGAACAAGTACTGCGTTCAGTTAGTCTCCCCATCTGTATGAAATATCTGTCTCTCCACCCATCTCTCAGTACCGTAGCGTCCAGCCAGGCCACCCACTCATCTACTTTGACACCTCCTCTCTCCCTGCAGGGTTATGGCACTGTCCTGTCCTGCACTGAGTGTTCCTCTGCCCCTCTTCCACCGAACCATCACCGCCTCTCCCCCTGTAGTGCTCACGTCTGCTGGCGTCTGGTTAGTTAGGCCGAGAGTTCTCTCTGCGCTAATACCCCCCTCCCCTCCCCTCCTTTATCCCCTCGTAAAGAGCAGTCGTCGTCTCTAATCGGATCAGAGGCGGTTTAGCCCAGCGGATCCCCTGCTTGAAATCTCCTGCTGGGCTCTAACTCAGTCTGCCCGCCTCACTCCCTTCGCTGCTCCGGGCGTTAACGCCCTGGAGGGCAGAGGCCAGCTGAACGGGACCCTCTGTATGTCCCGTCCCAGAGAGGGAGCCCGCCATGCAGGCCCACCGGCCACCTCCAGCCCACCCACGGCGCCGACCCCGTGCTGCAATTAGTCTGTATCTCCTGCTCGCTGGCTGGGGCAGCCTCTCGTCATCTCTCTCTCTCTTTCTCTCTCTCTGTGTCACTCCAAACAAATTTCAGTCAAATCGCCGAGGGTCACAAGATCGGAGCTGAAAGACAAACAGAGCAGCAGACTGACAGCACAGGACGGCGACGCTGCACAGAGAGAGCTCAGCGATCAACCGCGTGCCTCCCAGTTTCGCCACCGCCGAAGGTAAGAGCGGCTGTTTTCTCTATGGGGCAGTCATTCGGGGGGGGGGAGACAGGAGCTGCTTTGGGTTGAAAGTTTTTTTTTTTTATGAAGGCGCTGCATAGTGGAAACGCGAAAGGCAGGAAAGACTTCCCGGGTCTCGCAAAGAAGTCGAGAGAGGCCGGAAACGAGGAGTGGGGGGGGCCCGCCGAGGCCCACCCGGCTCAGTTCGGGCGCGAGATCCCACGCTTTAGCCGAGGGCCTCATCCAGCCGTTTCTTTGCCAGGCGCCTTGTTCCCTTCTCCCACAACCCTTTGTGTACAGACGTGCCTCCCGTTCTCGGCTTTAAATGCCCCCTCCACGCCGTCGCACTTACACGCGACGGGAAACTTCAGGTACGGGCTCGCGTGCAGTTCCCGTATAAGAAGATCCATTGAAACTGAACGTCCAATCCAAACAGGCCAGCGTGGTCAAGTTGACGTGTGGCCGGTCCAATGTTCTGCATTTGCAATCTAAATCTGGTTCTGCTGGAACAATACGGCGCGTTCTGGACCTGGGTCCTACGTGATCGGGTAGTTGCAATTACAAGTGCAGCAAACTACAGCCGAGCCGCGGTAGGGAGACAGGTGTGCGTGTGTGTGTGTGACCTGGCCAATGGGGTTATTTGCATACAGCATGGAAATGAAAGGAAGAGAGAGAGAGGGAGATGGTCAGATCAGCAGAAGGAGATTTAAATCGGCATGCAAATGGGAGAGGGCGAGAGAGAGAGAGAAGGGAGTTCATGTCCACAGGCCCACTGGACGCCACAGCACCTGGACATACAGAGACAGCGCCCCGGCTTGACCCTGCACTGACTGAGACGGCGGGGAGGCTGGCAGGACCCGGCCGTGCTCCGCGTGCCCATATTTACAGCGTGCTCCGAGGGTGTGTGCGTGCGTGTGCGTGTGTGTGCGCGCCCAGTCAAATTTTGCAAAGTGGCGCAAGCAGATTTTTTTGGGGGACTGGGAGAACTCGTTTGCAAAGCAAATAAGCCGATTCAGAAGAGGAAAAGGATCGTTTCTCAGCAATAAACAAACGCAGCCGGACAGCAAACACCAAGAGACAGGAGATAAGAGCCCCGTGTTTAGCTTGCAACTGTTGCTTCCTGGGGGGAGTTATATCTAATAAAAGTGTCTAAGAAGAAGGAGGCAGGGTGGGGCAGGGGTGAGCACCGCTACCTCACACCGTTGGGGCTGTGGGTTCAATTCCTGGGGTGCTGTCTGCGTGGAGTTTGCATGTTCTGCCCCTTCTGACAGTTAATTAACTGGTAGGTTAACTAGTTTCGGGAAAATCTGGCCCTGGTGTGAGTGTGTGTGTCCTGTGATGGGCTGTTTTAAACTTGACTCGGTATCGGACGAAGCAGTTACTGAACACGCACAGATGATTCCAAAACTCTCTTTCCCAGCTCCTTCTTGCACCCGACCTCACTTCCTGTCCATTGCCGGTGGTGACAGCGCCTAGCAACCGTTGCCATGGGAGAAGTGGAGCAGCTTCGGAAAGAGGCAGAGGCCCTGAAACAGCAGATTGCCGTGAGTCCAATTACCTGCTTGACGTTAATTAATCCAACATGGCTCTTGAGCACTCCACAGATAACACTGCTGAGACCAGAGTGTTCAACTGATCAACATCGCACCACACAGAAACTTTGCAATGTCTCCTTAACATCCACAACATGTACAGTTCCTTAATCGGTTACTGATAGATAATGAACATCCTGTTACTGGAGACTTAATTAACACCTAAACGACACTAAATTAATATGGCCAACACAGTCAAGACTGACCCCTCCCCATTTACTCCTCAAACGTGAGATCAGAATGAATCATGAAAAACAAACACCACCTAGCCAGCCTGATTTCATCAATACAAAAACTGTCTCTTGTGCACGTCACTCAAGACCGCATAAGTATAAAGATCCTGTTAGAATCTGATCACGCTGTGCAGTAGCGTGTGATCTGGAATTTAATGATATGACACTGGGTTATTATCTTGTAATGAACAGATAATGCATGAAACCTGAATTGCATGAACTAGGCGTGTCAGTTGTTGAAGCACGATGATTATATCCAGGGTGAGAATCCACTCTCCTCTCCGAAATGTAAATGGTTAGTCCTTTTAGATCTGGTTTTGTAGCACCAAAAGTAGCCTTTCAAACTTAAGGAACACACGGGGATGAACCCAAACAAAAGAGAGGAAGAAATTCTGGGAACTTCAATTCAATCCAACTGGGGAAGACAGACTGACCGATCAGCTCCTACAACTCTTCCTATTAGCAGCTCGTGTATAGTTGATGTGTTGTTGTGATCAGGTTCTGGAAGATCAAGATCAATCCAATTTCAACAACAGGAAAGAAAGGCAGAAAGATTCGATTATCGAATCTCATAATATGTATATATTAATTCCCAATGATGACTCTTGAACAGCTGTGCATATGGATCAACTCTACATGGATTCATTTGGTCTAAAATGGACCTTAAATTCGGCTAGAACTATTGTAGCTGCCACAAAAGATACTCTCGCTTGTAATCATTACTAATGGTCTGGACGATAGTGATCAATCCAATTTCCTTGACAAGTTTATTATTCATTTATTAGATTACTAATAATCTGTGTAATATATGAACGTCTACACAATACCTATCCCAGGAAAGCACAGCAAGTGAAAGCAAGACTTGATCACCCACTTGGCCAAACTATAAATCAAACTAACGGTGAGAAGTTACTTTTCTCCCCTCCTCCCCTGAACGGATCGAGGTGAATTCAAAGCGATGTTCCCTGTGCTGGCAGACTGGAGCAGTGAGGGCAATAGCTGCCGTGCGATTGTAGTGAGGACCGTGATAACAGCAGCCCAGCGGAGGCGCCCGTGCAGGTTACAGAGGCTGGCTCTAGGTCTGCGGTGAGATCGTTTCTGCCGATAACGACGCCGGTGCCAATCGTGTAACAGGACGCCCGGAAAGCCGTGGCAGACACCACCCTGGCGGAGATGGTGGCCGGAACGGAGGTGGTCGGCCGCATCCAGATGAGAACCAGGAAGACGCTGAGAGGCCATCTGGCGAAGATCTACGCCATGCACTGGGCTACCGACTCCAGGTACAACACCTGCAGCAGCCTGTGTGACTACATACACACCTGTGTCATCAGTCTCTCTACAGGCACACTGCAC